CCCACTTGTTGATTGTTTGTGCTAGTTCACGGGCAACTGAAGTTTTGTTCATAAAATATTTTCCTCCACCAATGTCTTCAAGAGTTCTACCTAACCTCTGTTCCAGCCAGTTGAGTGTTTCTATTTTAATATTTATATCTTTAATCCATTTTGATTTTAGTTTAGTGCATGGTGAGAGATACAAATCTAGTTTTAATCTTTGGCAAGTTGAAGCCCAGTTTTTCCAGCACCATTTATTAAAGAGGCTATCTTTCCTCCAATGAGGGTGTATTGTTTTCCACCTTAACTTTCAGTCTATGAGATTCCTTTTGCATTAAGTGGGTTTCTTGTATGCAGCATGTTGTTGGATCTTGGTTCTTGACCCATTCTGCCAGTCTATTTCTTTTGATTGGTGAATTAAGACCGTTAACATTGATGGTTATAACTGATACGTATTGACTTATCATTGTCATTACTTTTCCTTTTTGTTGGATTCTCCCCCTTTGCGTTTAGTTTCTTGTCATGCCCAATGGATTCATTCTGCTGGTCTTCCTGAGGTTGTGATCCTCATTGTCCTTTCCTAGAATATTGTTTAAAATTTTTTGGAATGCTGGTTTTGTATTCATGAAGTTCTTAAGGTGCTCTTTGTCATAAAAGCATCTTATGGAGAAATAATTTTAACATCATTTATTCAAATCTAGGTGTTTAAAAATATCTGGATGAATAATATTTTCAACTTTCACTTGGATGATTGATGATGAACATTACATTAGCATGTATTTTCTTTAGTAATGAAAATTTTTTAGTCACTGGCCCATTTTTAATTAGTTTCCAAATTATATTGGATTCTTAGCTTTAAAGTTGGTCTGTCTTTGATCCAGATGCTAATAACCAATAGTTTGAAATGCAGCTTATTATAATAATTTCTTTAGTAAACAGAACTACATTTTTTGAGTTCCTTCTGTCCTTCAACCTTAGAAATATCAAAAAAGAAAAGCAAAAATATAACAACATTGTGTAGGTAATCAAAACACACACAACATTTTCATATGCTGACAATGGAGAACAAAAGGCTCTCTCTACCTTCAAAGAGGAGTAGTGAATATAAAGAAGATCCACTGCAGTCAGGTCTTGGAGGTGCCTGTAAGGAACCCATGAGCAATCATCACAAATACTGATGAGTATTCAGCCTTATTATTTTCCTCTCTGGCTTCACAGAAATAAATCTTCCTTTTAAAAAGCCTCCCTTTTTTGGCTTTGATGGAGTATCTTTTCCCATCTACCATTTCTTCAACTCTTTCTGCCCAGGAGAGAATTTTGGGGTAAGGAGAGGAGTGAGGAAAGATGGCACTATAAAAATCTAAGAAATTCATCAAAGAAGGAAACCAAGCATTATCTTTAGAAGGATGCTACAGCATCCAGGGAAAGGAATTGAAACTAATCTATAGATTGAGAGTGTGAGGTGCAAGGAGATCAACAACACACTGAATGTTTAGAGTACTGTGGGTTAGTAAGAAGGACTAAAGGACAGAGGCAAGTTTCTACACTGAGTTCTATAACCTCAGACAAGTTTCTGAAACTCTCTGATCCTATTTCCTCCCCCATCTTTTCCATTTCCTGTCAAGGTTATTATTGAGGCCCCAGTGCTTTGGGAAAACTGTCAAGTGATGAAGCTCTGTACAGTGGAAGGCATAAGGGTAGTCCCTCCTTATGCGTGGGGGTGCATCTGAAGACACCAGTAGATAGATGCCTGAACCTGGACATGGTACCAAACCCTGTATACTGGAATAAATATAACTATAATTATTTTTCCTGCACACACATCTATAATAAAGTTTAACTTATAAATCAGGCACAATAATATTAAAATAGAACAATTATAACAATATACTGTAATAAATGTTATTCAAACTTACAAATCTCTAGAATTTTCCATCTCCTATTTTCACACTAGCAGTTGACCCCAGGTAACTGAAACCACACTTGTCCGATAAGGGTCGCTACCGTATTACTGGACTGAGCAGCCACTGAGGTAGGGACAATGTGAGGGCAACCTGAAGGTCATAAACCTTTACATTTCAATCCTGCCCTCCTGCAGCAAACCTAGGAGGGCAAATAAGCAACACAGCCAGAGGTTTTGCAAGACGGAAAGGGGTAAATCAGCGTTCTGATCCGCTCAAAAAAGGCCTGCTTTCCTGTTTCCTGGGTGAAGAGGGGTGGGCGAATGGAAACCCGCTCCCAGCAGCTCCCAGCAGCTCAGGAACTGCTTGCGGGGAGGGGGGGGGGCGGGGCGGGGCGGGGGGCGAGTCACAAGGGGTGGGTAGAGAGGAGATGCTCAAGTCTTCAGGGTCAGACTGGAAGGAGTCAAGTGCAGCGCAAGGCCAGTCTCCTGACATTCCTTCAACGACGCGGAGGTGCGGATCCAGGGCGGTAGGTTGGTAATTCGCGCTCTCCGAGCCCCATCTCACCAGCTCTCAGCCTTCCCGCACGTCCTCAGTTTCCAAGGCGACCGCCCCCTCCCCGCTTAGTCGCCAGAGCGGCCAGCGCGCCCCCTTGCGGCCACTCGAGGAAGAGTCCAGGCCGAGGGCTTGCGCCTCGAGCCTCCTCCCCGAGCTCTGTGCGGCGTTTTCCGCATCCGCGCTCCGCCCGCCTCAGTGACAAACCCGGAAGAGGTAGGTGTGTGGAGACGCGAGACGAGCTGTGTATGCTAGCTGCGCCGGTCACCCTCGCGTCAGTGTTTTCTGTGGCCGGCTCCACCGGCTCTGCCCCACGCCTTCGACGGCTTCTCCCGTCCGGTTCTCCCGAGTTGCTCCGGCGTTGCCTGGGGCGGAGAGGCGGACACCTGGGCTCCGTGCTTCCCGCCGGGGTCCCGGCTCACGGAGCCCTGGACTCTGCCCGCGCTCTTTCTCGTTCTACATTTTTGCTCCTAAACTTCAAGAGCAGCAATAAAGATCCAGTTTTTCTCTTTTAACTTTTTGCAGATCCCTTCCCATTCGTGGAGAAAAAAAAAAAAAAAAAAATCCCACACCTACGGCTTTTCATTCCCCTGTGCTCCCAGGCGTTCTTGTTGAAGACAGGTTTCTCACCTGGGTGCGCCTACCTCCCCTTAGTGCTCACCGGCTTGTCCCGGGGAGACGGTGATTGTGTTTTTAAAAATATCGGGGCCGGAGATTTAGCTCAGTGGTTCCGCCGCCTGCCTCGCAAGCTTAAGGACCCGAGTTCGATCCCCGGTACCAAAAACAAAACAAAAAAATATGTAATGGGTGTGTGTGTGTGTGTGGTCTATGCTGTGTTATATTAATAGCACATTAAAACCTTGGAGTGGAAGTAATCAATAAAAATATTAACTCGCTTTTAGTTAAGGGAGTTTTTGTTGTCACTAAAAAATTTAAAATTAACCAGTTTGAAATAATTTGTATTTCACTTCATTTAAACCCCCTTTTGTTCTATCAGTGTTAAGTATTTATTAAGTAATTTGCTGTGATCTGCACATCGATAAACGTTTTTTAGTTACTTGGTCTTCCCTACAATAAAAAAAAAAAGGTTGAATTACGGAGGAAACTTTACTAAAGTGCAAATACAGGAGAAAAAGAGCTACTACCATTTAAATCATGGAGCTTTTTTTTTTTTTTAGTTAAATGGAAAAACAGTTTGTGAATTTTCAGCACTTTGAATTCATTCCCACATCATTTCTTATAAATCTTAGGTCTGCTTCTTTTACAAGAGCCTGGGCCCGTGATCAAATATGTACTTTCACCCTATCATTTCTCTCCTGCTCAGTTTTTCTGATGTTGTTTGCCAGTTGGTGGTCAAACAGTGAAGCCAGATAGAAACCATTTGCCGAGTTTCCTTATTTGACCTTGATTTTCTGTTAGTCTTGCTATGTTGAATGGTGCGCAAAAATAGGAGAGTATCTATAGTAGAAAAAGCCAAATACGCTGTTTTTGGCAAAACCACACACACAAAAATCTGGTAATATTACAATTTAAAAACAAATACAGGAGTCTTTTTCTTGACAATATGTTTTAAAAACCATAAAAACAGTTCGTTTGCATTACTTTCACCTGTTTTCATTAAAGATTACTAATTCTGCAAACAGGCTGTAAAGCAAGCAACCAGATATTAATGTTAAAGATCATGTTAATTTCTGGATGCCTGAACTAGAGATTAAATTTTTGGTTCAAAAACTTCTAGTATACCAGACATTTTACTGATAACAAATATAGTCTTGAGAAATAGAAAAGCCCTGCTACAACTTCTTATCCAAAAACTTTGTTCCTGAAAAATTTGAAACAAATCGATGCTTTGCCTAAAAAGTCTTAGAACAAAGTGAATATTCTCTTGAGAAGAAAAAAGTTAGTTTATGCTCTCTTTAGGAAGACATGGCAAGAAACCCAGAAGGATAATGTTCTGACCCAATATCCAGGATCATGTTGGAATATTATAAAATGGGATGGTTTCCCACTTTATATGGAAGGGTCACAGTTTTTCCCCTTAAGCCTGAGCCTACCGCTTCAATCTACTTTCTTGTCTTCATTTCTTCAATCCAAGTTTAACTTAAATAACCAGAACTCTGGTGGCGGTGGCAGGGGTGGGGGGTGGGGATGGGGACAGCTGTCTTTTCCCCCTCACCTCCTCTAGGTAACTGATTTTTAAATTTCTTTTTATCTTCGGTGTGTTTTCTGTGAGGTAAGAGGAGCCCAGGATGGGAACTGGAGTCAGAGCTGTACCCCAGGAACCTGGGCCCAGTGATGTGAACTGTTCCTGAGAATGTAGCATGACGTCAGGGGAGTGTGCAACAGTAATGAATTACTACATGCTTACAGTAGGCCTAAAATATGTCCCCAAAAGGCTAAACATATAGAGTCCTAGAACATGTCAAAAAATCCAGAAATGCACACATATGGTCAGTTGGCTCAAAGTGCTAAATCAACAAAGAAAACATTTTCAACAAATGGTCCTGTACCCATTGACTATCTATTGGGGAAAAAATGAAACTTGAGCCTAAACAAAAAACATAAAAAAAATTAACTCAGAGTGAACCAGACCTGAACATAAAACCATAAAACTTCTAGAGTAAAATAGAACGAAATTTTAGTGACTATGGGTTGGCAAAGATTTCTAATATAGGACTCAAAAAGAATGATTCAAAAAAGAAAAAATCCAGACTTTATTCCCACTGAAAACTTTTCTTTAATTTTAAGAATAAGAAAGGTGTGAACCAGCACTTAGGAGGCTGAGGCAGTAAGATCGCCACCAGTTCGAGGCCAGCCTGGGCTACATCACTATGTAGGCCAGGCTGAACTATATGACAAGACCCTGTCTCAAAAAGACAAAACAAACAACAATGAAGAATATGAAAAGGCAAGCCATGATCTGGAAGAAAATATTTGCAATCCTGACAGAAGACTGTTATCTAGAATTTATAAACAACTCTTAAAACTCAGTAATAAGAAAACAAAACAACTAATTACAAATATCAAAAGATCTGAGCAGGCACACCACAAAAGAAGATACATTCACGGCCAATTAGCCACGAAAAGATGTTCAACACCATTAGTCATCAGAGAAATGCAAATTAAAACCACAAGAAAATACCACTACACAGCATCTGGAATGGCTCAATTTCAGAAGGCTGACAGTAACGTGTAGATAAGGATATAGAGTAACAGGAACTTTTGGATATTGCTCATGGAAAAATAAAATGATACAGCCATCTTGGGAAACAATTTGGTAGTCTCTTATAAGCAAACATACACTACATGGCCGGTAACCCCATTCCTAGATATTTGCACAAGAGAAGTGAAAATGAATGTTCATAGCACCATGATTCTTAGTAATCTAAATTTGGAAACAATCCACATATCCATCAGTAGGCAACTACATAAACAAAAAGAATATCCACACAAATAGACTATCACTTAGCAATAAAAAAGGAATGAACTATTGATATGTGCAGTAACACAGATGAGTCTCAAAAGAATTTAGCTAAGTGAAGAAGCCAAGTGTAGAAAAGTATTATGAAATTCTAGAAAAGCTTGAAAGCAGATCAAAGATTGCCTGGTACTAGGGGATATAGGGGTTGACTGCTAGGGGGCAAGGGAGAATGTTTTGGGATAAAAGTAATACTCTATATTTTGATTGTAGTGTGGTTGTAAGGTACATGCATTTGTTAAAACTCACTAAAATATGTATTCAAAATGGTTGGATTTCATTGCACATAAATTATGCCTCAGTAAAATTAATTTTTAAAAGTAACTTCAAATTCTTTGACACCCTTTCTGTCAAGATATGGAGTCAATATTCCGTCCTTGAAACTAAGTGGCCGTTTGATTGCTTCAATCAATAGACTATGGTGGAAATGACTATATATTATGTGTGAGTCCAAGCCATTAAAAAATCATGCAGATTCTTCTTGGATCTTTTGTAATACTTGCTATGGAAGAATTGAGTTGCCCTGTAAAAAGTCTATCTACAATGGGACAATCATGCCAGAGACGCCAACTCTTGGCACTGTGGTCAACCGTTCTAACTAGTTCTAGCTAGCTTACCTTCTAGCCCATAAAATGCCAAGACATGTGAGTGAAGTCCCATTGGATCCACTCTAGCACCCCATCTTCAGCTAAGTATTGCTGAATTGAGCTCAGTTTATGTCATAGAGAGCAAGAGATATAATGAAGTGTTTGTAATTTTAAACCACTTAGTTTTGTTAGTTTATTGGTTATCTGTTACTGCATAAAATTGCTCTAAAATTTAGTAATTCAGGACAACACTAAAAATGTATTATCTTCAGTTTCTATGGATGAGGAATTTGGGAGCAACCTGATGGAGGAGTTCTATGTTGGTGTATCTTATGCAGTCAATTGTTGGACAGATTCTATGTCTGCCTGAAGGAGCTTTCAGTCTAGGGAGAAAGAAGAGCCATCAAATTAGTAGGAATTATAGCACAGTTAGAGAACCCTCAAGATTGGAGGCAGAGAAGCAGGGTACTATGAAAAACCTAACCTAGTCTCAAGAGTCAGAGAACAATTCCTAGAAGAAGTAAGGTCTGAATTGAGACTTGATGATGAAAAGGAATTAGTTTAGGGTATTGGGTGGGAGAGTCTGGGACAGAGTGCATAGCACATACAAAGGCCTAGAAGTAAAAGTGAAAATGATGTGTTTCTAATGGAGCTAAAGAAATTTACTCTGGTTAGGTAATAGGGTCCCAGAGAAGGGAGAGGACTGAGACAGGAAGATAGAGAAGCAACCAGGAACAGATCATATTGGTTTGAGCCATGCTGAGGATGAGAGGCTCTGTTATGATGACAGAAGTTTACCCTGGCTGGTGCAGAGGAGGGTGGAAAGGGCCAGCACAGGATTACGTTCCAGATGGACTCCACTGACCACACTTCCAACCTTTATTTGCCTAAGGGCCTCTCACTTTGGATCTGTTTCTGGTCCAAGGAACATGTCTCAGGCTCTGCCTTTTGCAAGATACAGGTGGCTGGCAGAAAGAATGACCTCATCTCTCTGGCTCAAGTTGTCAGTTTGCATAATCTCCGAAGGCTTCTATGACTCAGGTGAGGTGTGCACCCCCACACTGGGAAGTAGTCTATGAAACTACCATCAGTAAACATACTGAAAGAATGAAAACAGGGAATAATACTACCTCACATCTGGAGGATGAGGCAGTAAGGACTCTAATTTCTATCTTTTAAGAATTGGATTTGTTTGTAGAAGGAAACAGAAAAGTACATTGTTGGTAATATCCAGCAGTATCGCAAACCTAACATAGTACATTGCATTTTTAAATAATAATGAGGAATTTAGCAGGATTAGAAAACACAAGGTATATATAAAAATTCAGGTCTATGTATACTTGCTATAAATGAATTGGATATTGAAATTTAAAAGTTATGTAGGAGTACAAAGGACCTAGAAAAGTAAAAAGAAAAAA